TTCATTTAAAAAAAAATGGGGGGGGGGGGATTTTCATCATTCCATAAAATATTAGCTGTGTGATTTAAGTTTTGTGCAAAGGCCAGTAATGGGAAAATATACAATGGGGTTCAAAATCTGATACCACAATGAAAATCTGAGATGTAGATAATTATTTAGGCCTGAATAGAACAGACAAATTCAAAACAAAGACAAGTTAACAACATATTCAAGATTCTGCACTATTTGTAGATCAGTAATTACATTTGTGACATTGATCATGTTTTTCTATGAAAGGTCAGATGTTTTTGATTCCACTGAAGCACAAAATGGTCTTAGGAACATTCTCAAATCATACTGGATGAACATGATCATCAGGTTTTACACAAATTTGTGGAACTCTATTGCTGCTGTCATTAAAACAAAAGGTGTATAGAACAAACTATGAAGACATTCTGAAATTTCATGTTATTTTTTTTTTTTACTCACACTGTTGTTCTGATAATATATTATTAATGAGAAATAAGAAATTTAAAACAAAGTACATTAAATAAAGGCAATTTGTTAGCATTCCCAATTTTGGAACTACATTAAGGTAAAAATAATACGAACCCAAACGTAACCCAAATGTCATGTAAAATGTTTTCTCCTTTTGTTATGTTGCATATTTATTCTGTAATGGTTTACTTTAGGTTCACATCCATCTACACCCCATACCCACATCTGTCTATAATGTCTAAAAGCTAGAAATGCATATGAAGTTGTATGGAGTGCAGATTGATGTGAACAGAAAGAATATAGTTTACACAATAAATGGTTGTATTTATGTTCAATTCATATCATTCAGTTGTCTAGAAATTGCTTATTTTTATTATAAAGAATATATTTTCAACTGCAATCTCTATGTTTTATTATAGAATTTAAAAAAATGTCTGAGTCTAGCTTGTTCTCTCGCTTTGCAGTTACCAGCTGCGGGGATCCTGGTCCAATTGCCAATGGAATATACATTGGAAATGAGTTCATATTTAACAATACCGTCCACTATCGCTGTAACCCTGGGTATGTGATGGAGCCCCCTGGTTCATCTACTCTACGCTGCAGCAAAGATGGCACTTGGAATCAGACCAAACCAAGCTGCAGAGGTAAGATAGTTCTCCACGATTCTCTCTGTGCAGGCAGAGAGGGCAGCGTATCCTGTCACTCTGCAAACAGCATCATGAGAGCTTTTAAGAGATATACTAATATTGTGGAGTTCTTATCATCCCAACATCAAAAGCCTTTCAGATGTTTTTGATCTTTGTTTTTTTTGACTTGCCTGGCAAGTGAGATTATTCACTTATGAACTCCAAGGAGACGTTGCCATGAAATCTGTAGGATCTATGTTATCAGATGTCAGAATGAAATTAGCGAGTGGTGCAATGCAGACAGCTCAGTCACGATCATTTCTAGAAAATATCAGATACATGTTTTCGGACGCAGGAAGAAATGCAATGGATGCTTGAAATTCAGAGTGATTTTAGTACGTAATCCCATTTAATCATTGCTTCCTCCTGTTAGCAAACGGAACGTAATGATCATGGAAAGAAAATAAATAACTCTAAGCCCCTTGTTAGCATACTATTCTTTCAGATCTTCCTTTTCCGCGTCTGAACAAGTGAAAGAAGGAGGTGTTGGGTCTGGACACATCTTCAGTCAATAATAATGATGGTGATGAAATCAGGGCTGTTCAGAATGCCGTTAAAATGCCTTTCAGTTGCATCCCTTAGTTTGAACTGAGGTAGAAAACAGAATATGGAATTTGATTTTGAATCTGAATGTAGGACAGTCAAATAAAATTCAGAATCACTGCTGTAAGTGTAGATTTTAATGCTACATGGGACACTTCGAGAAATATTTGTTTATATTGATAATCACTGCTTAAAAACCACCTATAGAGGCTTGTATTTAATTTCTATACTATATGTGACCCTGGACCACAAAGCCAGTCTTAAGTCGCTGGGGTATATTTGTAGCAATAGCCAAAAATACATTGTATGGGTCAAAATTATCGATTTTTCTTTTATGCCAAAAATCATTAGGATATTAAGTAAAGATCATGTTCCATGAAGATATTTAGTAAATTTCCTACCCAAACAGAATATGGAATTTGATTTTGAATCTGAATGTAGGACAGTCAAATAAAATGCAGAATCACTGCTGTAAGTGTAGATTTTAATGCTACATGGGACACTTCGAGAAATATTTGTTTATATTGATAATCACTGCTTAAAAACCACCTATAGAGGCTTGTATTTAATTTCTATACTATATGTGACCCTGGACCACAAAGCCAGTCTTAAGTCTCTGGGGTATAACTTATGACTGGTTTTATGGTCCAGGGTCACATGTGTGTAGTTGACATGAAATATGTTGAGACATATCCTGCAGTATGACAAAACACTTTTCTTATTATAGCAGAATGATTAGCCATGCAGCATTTATGAACTTATTAATTTGGAGATTACATGGAACTTTTAAAACATTAATTTGTCACACCTCAGGACCATTTATGAAGGAAAAAAGGTGATTAAAAACAGTGCAAACTTTACAAGATATGGTGTTCAGTTACTGCATGTAAAAATGTCCTTAATGCATTATTATACATTTTTAATTGTAAAATTTGTATATTGCCAAAAACAAAAACAAATCTGCTGTTAAGCATCAACTACATATACTGTATTTTTGACAATGGTCAAACAGAATGCTGTAATTTATGGCAAATTTTGATGATTTTTAAAAAAAGTTATATGAATGTGTGATGCTTTTTACATTATTTTTTTATTATTATTATTATTTATCTATTTTAGTATTGAGAAATATGTGCAATCAGTTAAAGATGTATTCTACATATCACATATCAGTAAATTTTGACAGGATTAGCCCCACTAATTATAATTTATGTGTGTTGTCAAAACTTGGACTAATGGAAACCTTTTGTAGTATGAGTGTGTTAAATTTCTTTAAATTGCAATGCAGTAATATACTGAAGATCCAGTGAGCTTTGGCCGATTCAGATGCCACCCCATAAAATGATAAGGGAGCCAATTCATGAATACTGCATACTGTCTAACTTTGTTGTGGTGGTGTTTTTCAGTCATCATGTGTGGCCAGCCTCCAGCTATTCGCAATGGGCGAGTGGAGGGCTCAGACCTGCAGTGGGGTTCTAGTGTTACCTACAGCTGCTTTGAAGGATACCAGTTGTCCTCTCCTGGAATAGCCACATGTGAAGGGAACGGCTCATGGCGTGGTGAAATCCCACAGTGTCTGCGTAAGTACCGTTCTGTTCCATTAACAGAAAACAGAATTAAACTCCATTAGCACATCCATGAAAAGAGGATGTAAACAATGTGTTTTGCTTCAGTAGACAGCATATTTAATTACAAATGAAAATGAGGCTGTGAGGGATATAAGTACAGTTTGTACTTTAGACCGCTTTCTGCAGTTCTTCTTGTCCTCTGAAAATTCATGGAAAGTTGTATTTACAAGGTACAGTATACGTTTCTTTGCCACTCTCACATTTGAAGAAACAAAACAAAAAACAGGTGGCTGTCCAAATACATCTTCTGCAGTATAAACGATATAGGAAAATCTCAACCATCTTGACACATTTCTGCCATCACACCATACATACCATCATAGCGCCCTGCCGTAAATCCATATATGGGCCAAAAGTTGATATTTTCTGTGGCGGCCGTTTTTGTGTTTGAAGTATTGTGTCGCTATAATGGAAGGTTCATGGCTTGACTGTGTGAAACGCAGCTACAGCACATCATAAAACCTGTTTTGACATTTTCAATACAAGTGTCAAAACATCACAAATGGATCCCTCAAGTAGCCTGGCTTTCCGGCATGCAGCGTAAGAGGTACGAGGTGCATGCACGGAATCTGCCGGTAAATCCTTCTGGCTTTTATTGTAAGCCTTTGACAAAATGTCAGCTGTTACAACAGAAATCCTCGTTAAAAGTGCCAGAAAAAAAGAAACCATATTGTAAGTGCAAACACCAAAAAGTACTATTATACAGAAGAGAACAGGGCTAGTTGTCTGACAGAGAAGATGTCATGAAGACTATATCCCAGTAAAAGTTTGAAGACAAAAGACACAAGTGCTTGTTTTCTCCAGAAGTGTTTTTTTATGTTTGTTTCAAACTTCTTGTTCAATACCTTTTTTTTTTATTTGATTATCCAAACTATTATATATATATATATATATATATATATATATATATATATATTTATTTAACCAATTTTTAAATATATGATAGAAATATATGTAGTATCTTAATACGCATCAACATATGTGGAATAATATTGATTCAGTACTGTTGTAATTTTATACAAGAGTGCATTCACAATACAGCATGTCCTCAAGTACCCTATTTCTTTTATAAAACAAACATTATAATTTCTTAAAGTCAAAAATATGTATTAATATGTTACTTTTTGAAGTAAAACCATCAAATACCATCCTTCCACTAGAAAAAAATAGTCCCTGACTGTAAACAGCAACATAATGTTAATGTAGGTGTAACATGTTTCCTCACGCATATATGTGTGTTGCACTCTCAGCATGAGAAAACATTTGTTTTCCATCTTTTAGTTTAAATCAGTTTGCGGCGCAGTGCAAGTCTGCCTAAGGAGCATCATTAAACAGTGTAACTCGATGAACATACAGTATCATACCTGAAATAGAAAACTTTTGAAGGTTATCCTTTGTGCACAACTCAACGGTTACATATGTAACTGTCCGTAAATTATTTATTTGCCAGATAATCGTTTGGTTTGTTGGTATGTGGATGATTTCATGCGCAAGGAAAGCTGTTTGCGAATCGCTCGCCCAAAAATGTGCTGTTGCTACCATATCTTGATTACCAAAAATCACATTGTATTCGATGCAAAACTAACTTGATCAAATGAAAAAAAAAAATTATAATAATGTAACTCTAAATTTAATACTCTATATATACTTTTGTGTTTTCTCAAGCAAAGCAAATTTTGAAAGTCTACTGAAAACATATCTTCTTACATGTTTTTGAATAGATAAAAGATTTTGAAAGTACGTTATTTGGCAACATGCGTGTGCGAACTAATCAAAAGAACCATTTCTGAGGATTTTTTTTTTGTTCCATTTGTTTTCCCAAATCCCAATGCTTGACAATCTGGCATATAGAATAGAATAGAATAGAATATTTCTAACTTGCATAAGCTATAGTGTGAAAATATGCCTTGCTTTTTGCTTTAGGAAAAAGGATGACAGCTAGTCCTGGTCTCCCCTACAGTACATACAATACCTCACAATGCAGCTCATTCTGAATACTGCAGGCTGGTTGATATTCAGCCTTCTCCGTTTCTCCTAGATCACACCTCAGCTACACTTCTACCACTGGCTCCCTATGCCTGCAAGAATCAAGTTCAAACATTTGTCCTAGTGTACAAAGCAGTCATTGGTCAGGCATCCACCACCATCCAATCCATGCTGACACCTAGGACTACTCAGCCTCTCATCCAAACATGTGATGGATGAAAATGAAACTTAAAATGAAAAACTTGGGGGAAAGAAAGGGTCTACTGTAAATCTTCAGTTGCAGACTGTAGACTCACTTCTTTCAGCATTGTATTAATACCAAATCGTTGTTGATTTCATATTTTTTGTTTATTTTTGGCTTGTTTATTTCCCCAAGATTGCATTGTATCTATATTAGCTGTAATGTAGTAGCCCTTTGCCATCTGTTGATCCTCTCTCAAATGTGATGCTAAAGCACTTTCTAAATGCCTTAAATACTGCAAGAACAAGTGAAGCACCTGAGAATACAAATAAAGAGCACAACTAGAAGTGTGACTACTTTTTTAGTCCTGTTTGAGTGTTAAAATTTGTCAAAATCAAACACACCAACACCTTTCACTGCTAAATTGCACTCTTGAAAAAGAAAGTAGCTGAACTGAGGCAATGATTGCGAACTAGCGGGCTAACTTTTTTTGTTTTTTTGTCCTTTATAGCAGTGTTATGTGGAGATCCAGGCACCCCTGCAGAGGGCTTCATAGAGGGCCGGCAGTTCACCTTCAAATCAGAGGTGTCATTCTACTGCAGACCTCCATTCCTGCTGGTGGGCTCCTCAAGAAGAGTTTGTGAGGCAGACGGTTCATGGAGTGGAATACAGCCTTCTTGCATTGGTTAGCCACTATGCACCTTGGAAAAAAGCAATGCTATTAGGAATGCATTCAATATTGAAAAAATGTTTCTTAAAATAAATCAGTCTAACTAAAAATAGATTATTTTATACATTGAGTGTTCTACATATTATTATGTCGCACGCACAGTTTTGGTAACACTTTATTTTAAAGTGCCCCTATTACGGGTAATGAAATATTTTCATATTTTGGTTTTGGGAGTCCCCAATAACAGGTTGACATTCATGCAAGGGCAAAAAACAATTTCATTGTCTTATAATATGCATTTATTTTTACCTTATTTGCTCAACGACTCCCAAATGATTCGCTCAACGATTCATTTTTCCAAACCCCTCCTTTGCGTGACGCTAATCAGCGGTGATTGGTCCGATGGTCTCACTTTCATTTAATTTCGCCTGTAATGTCTGATAAAGCAGCGTTTGTGAGCGCAGTGCTGCTTTGTGTACAGCGTTACCGGGGAAAAATGTTAAGCAGCACAATCTTTTTCAAAGGCAAAGAATGAATTTGCATTTTCATTCATACCAATTCCCAAGTGGGCGGGCAATATGCTAATGTTTCATGTTGACCTCAACATGAAACAGCTTGGGATTCGTTTTAAAAGCGACTCGTTTCAATGATTCAGAGTCGACTCTTTCTTTTGACAGACAATAACTTTATACACGGTGCACTTTCAGATTTAAAACTTTGCAGGATGTTTTCATTCACTTAGAGCTGTGTTACACACTGCATGAAAGGCAATTTTCAAAAATCCATAATAGGGGCACTTTAAGGAGCAATTCTCACTATTAACTAGCATGCATATTGCTGTTTATTAGTATTTATAAAGCATTTATTAATGCCTTATTCTGCATGACCATATTTAAGATCCCTTATTCCTAACTTAACAACTACCTTACTAATGTAATTAATAAAATTAAGAGTTTATTGAGGCAAAAGTCATAGTTAATAGTGAGAATTGGACCTTAAAATAAAGTGTGACTAGACTTGTTTTTTGCTGTTGTCATCATTTCCAGTCAAAACACATTTTGCACTGCATGAGCTGGAGTTGCTGCAGGTATATTTAACCTGTTAGATATCTCTTGGACACATATGCAACGCATCTGTCAGATCGTGATCATCACTCACGTGACCAAGCACCGATTCGCATCTGATTTCGGGCCTCTTTTGTCTTGTCTTCTCCGTTTACTGTCGCTGAGCAGAAAATCTAGTGTAAAAACAGAATTAGAGTATGACATTGTTAGCTTAGCAACATGCTAACAGCAAACTCTACTGAAATCAGTTAGGTGCTACATGTGAAGAGCACTATTTGCTGCCTATGTAGGGCACTTATGATGTTCCATTTCACTTAGCATACTGCCTCAAATGGAAGTTTCCTGTGTAGGCGTCTGACAGCAGGCAGCTCCTTAAGTTTTGGAACACAGCCATAGCGTTACATTCGAAACAAGGTTTCATCAGTGTGTGATTGATGATGTACTATCAGGAAAACAAAGGGCGAGAGCGAGATCTTTACACAGGAAATTACTGCAGAAGGGCATTGTTTGAAGAAGTACAGATTACTTCAGAGTTAGGGCGGCTGAGGGTGCTGATGTCAAAGACTCTGACAGCTTAGCAGAGAGAAGTTTGCTCTTACAAATCTACTTTTTGATAGAAGTTCTCTGAGCAGTGTCATGCACTTGATCCTTGCCACTGTCCCAGTGATTATCCTCTAAGCTGTATATGTGACTTCCACATTGTGATGCTTTTGTATTGAACAGATTGCTGCAAAAGGAACAAATGTGGGCAAAAGAATTAAAGGTAGCTGAGTTTAAACAGCTTGTACATAAATTTGAGATTTGTGGACCACTTTGACAGAGCGCCGCACCAAATCCTTAGGGCGTATTGCCTGTGTAAAGCAGTCAAACTGTCAGAAGCTGAGAAGCAGGGAGAATTGAGTTGACGAAAAGTGAGGTGTGAGGACATAGCTCATATATTATGGAAGATGGCAGCACTCAAGGCATGTCCCAGAACGTTTCTCTCAGTGGTGTGGCTTTATCTCGACCGTTCTATAGTATGCAGCTGGGACTCCACTGTAAATCTTTCTGATATTGCTTTTATTGCAATTCTCTGTTTATTTTTTTTAGGGATGCTCTGGTCGGGATTTTTTAAGCCAATACTGATTACCGATTTCCCGTCTTCAGAAGCAGCTGATACAATAGTTTAAACAATATTATCAACCAATAATATATTAATAGTTGGATATATAGTATTTCCAACTTTACCTGCATACATACAGTATCTCATACAGCAATGCATACCATTGTACATACTACTCTGTATACAGTGATACAGTATATTACAATATATAGCAAATCTCAGCTGCTTGATTGCTTGTATCTTTACAAAATCTAAACTATATTATAGTCCAGAACTTATCTGCTAAACACAAGTCATGAAGATAGGGATGCACCGATATTGATACTGGTATCGGTATTGGGCCCGATACTGAGCTCCTGTACTCGTCTAGAGACACTGTAATATTCTATAATGTGTGCGGAGTATGTGAGTTTTATTTATATATATCATTCTCACCACGTTTTGCTAAGGTCCATTTTATTCTTACCATTTTTTTTTAATCCTTAGAAAAAATAGCTGCATAAGACATATTTAGTAAACAGAAATAAACATCTCAAATCCTTCCTTCTTAATTTAATTCATACATGTAACAACTAACACATTTGCACCAGCCAGTTCATCATGGACGTCATGTGTATACCTTGCAACAGATGTTATGATTTTCTGTGAAGCTTATTTGAAACAATGTTTATTGTGAAAAGCTCTATACAGATACATTGACCTGAATTGACTGTGCTCAAGCGATGCCATGATTTTTAAGCCAGAATTTTTTTTTTTTCCCCATTGAGGGTTTGAAAGCATTTCTGCATTTTCTAGAGACACTGTAATATTCTATAATGTGTGCGGAGTATGTGAGTTTTATTTATATATATCATTCTCACCACGTTTTGCTAAGGTCCATTTTATTCTTACCATTTTTTTTTAATCCTTAGAAAAAATAGCTGCATAAGACATATTTAGTAAACAGAAATAAACATCTCAAATCCTTCCTTCTTAATTTAATTCATACATGTAACAACTAACACATTTGCACCAGCCAGTTCATCATGGACGTCATGTGTATACCTTGCAACAGATGTATCAGGAGTTATAAAAAATTAACTGCATAAATAATAAATGCTACTTCTGGACCATGTAGTATATGTTATTTTATCTGTGTGATAAAAGTGATGAAATAAACAAAAACCTATCCATTTACACCCATTTAGATTAAATATGCCACTCTCATGGAGTTTAGTGAACAAATTAAATGAAATCATTATCCAGGAGTTAAAAAAGATGCATGAATTTAAGTTGTAAATAAAATATCAGTAGTGTATGCATCCTCATATCAGTAGTGATGTCCTAATAAGTCCACCTTAGAACAAATAAGCCTTCTACTTATGTTTTTCTTCCTTCTCCTTTTTATGTTGCAAAATAATAAAAAATAATAAGAATATAATAAGAAACATTACTGAACATAATATTAAATAGACAGAAAAAAACAGATACAGATGCAAGATAAACAATTTAAACAATTCTGCAGCTTATTGATATATGTTAAAATAATATTAATTGTGTGTAGGGTCTTATTATGTCCTTGATATAGAGATCTGGGAAAGACAAAAAAAAAGGTAGCATTTATATTGATGCTCTATTTTAGGCATTCTACTAACTATAAGTAACTTTGCAACTACATGTCACCTATACCAATCATTAGAGTATTATGGCGCTTTTCCACTGCGTGGTACGACTCGGCTCGGTACGGCTCAGTACGGCACGGCACGGTTCGGCTCGGCACGGTTAGTAGACTGTCTGCTTAATATCTGTCATGTTATTTTGATGGCACATATTCTACTGACTCTTAAGTAACTTTTCAAAAACATGTCAACATATTCTACTAGCCTTAACCTAACAGTAATAACTAATACTCTACTAACACTCTAATGAGAGACACGTTGTTGCAAATAAATAATAGTTAGTCGGCATGTCATTGCAAAGTTACTTAAAGGTAGTAGAATGTCTAACGTGGACTGTCAAAATAGAGTGTACCCCAAAAAACAACACATAAATTAAGAAATAAACTAACTGGCATGAAAGTGATACTTAAGTCTGACCATTAGGGTTATTTCCTGTGAATTACCAAAATGCATGGGTTTATGTGATTGCCCATTGGAAGTAATTGGCTCTGATATGTGGAAATTAGTTTGAGCATTGCTGTTTATTTCTTTCTCCTTCTCTTTTCAGCACATGCCTGTAGGCAGCCTGAGACGCCATCCCATCTAGACGTGAAGGCTATAGACCTGCCTACTCTAGGTTACACACTCATGTATACATGCCAGAATGGTTTCTACCTATCTGGAGGATCAGAGCACAGGACCTGCAAAGCAGATGGGAGGTGGTCAGGCAAACCTCCAGTCTGCAAAGGTACTGAAACAACTGGACTGATAACTTATGCAATGTGGGTTACTGCACCCAAACATGAAAATCCTGAAAAAATAAAAACAGCATAGAGAATACAGTGAGGGAACTATCCCTTAAATACCTACACTGCCCTCACTCTTATTGATTTATAGTGATAAATATGTTTAGTTCTTGGAACCATTTAAGACTAAATATATGACTTGTTTAAACTCTTTGAAAATGTACATTGCTAAACAGAACAGCAGTGTCAGCATTTATGAATGTATGAAAGTTATTAATGTCTGTCAGTTCTCAGAGAAACTACAGCAAGGCACTTTGATTAACTGTCATTACCATTGTGCAGGTTGCATCCACAAATGTAAAATTATCAATTATCTGCTCTGTTTCCTAGTTGGACCAAAAATAAACAGCAAATCAAATGAGGATCCAGACCTGCAGAAAAACAAGATTCGTGGTATGAAACCTTTCAAGTTCCCCTTCAATGATCCATTTTGCTGCCATCAAAAATAACTTGGCCTACATGAAGTTGAACCATGGTCACTGGAAATAATGCCTGTGATGTTGCATTGCTAAAAATGCTATTTTTTAAAATGTCAGAGTAACAAAGATAAAGGTGAAGTGTGATTATTTTCAGTGTTAAAATTTGATTGCCTATCCCGCTTTGACTGGCAAAGACCAACTATTTGTAACCCTTTCGTAGGTTTTGTAGAAGTGTTTGGGAAACCTGTTTTCTGCTACTATGGCAAAAATTAGACATTTCACATTTAACATTTAGCAGTGTCCAAAAGTTTTTAGACACGTCAGTTACTCTTAAATTATTGTTACATTTGTAACAAGTGGAATCTGCAAACAAAGTCTACTTTTCTCAGAACTAACTTCACTTTTCTGTGCCATTTTTACAGTTATGTTTAAGCAGCTGATGTTGGTGACATTTTACTAGTGAAATCAACTAAGTCAGTTACCAGTATGAAATGTGCTTGTCTTTTGTTACCTTTGCACAGTTTCATGTGTGCCTCAGACCCCAGAGGGTTTTACGTCCAAATACTTGGGGCCCCTGTATCTACTCAAGTGTATATGCTTGTTCAATTCAAGTTTATTTGTGTAGCGCTTCTCACGATACAAATCGTTGCAAAGCAGCTTTACAGAAAATTACGTTTCTACAATATATTTAGTAGTAGCTTATCAGTGGTGACTATGTCTAATTGATGTACATATGGCAGAAATGTACGGTAAAATTGAGTTAATGACGTAATCAAACAGACGATGAACACTATTAACAGCAATGATTATATATTGCGATCAAACTTATAGCAAAATGTGGTAGTTCTGTATGTTGTTTCAGGGTTGGCATCATCTGAGGTCCTCTGAGGGGTTGGCATCATCTCTTCTCAGGTGTTCTGGATCCAGACTGAAGCTTGTGTAAATCTTAGTTACCATGGGATGTCAATCCCATGGCAAAAACAGAGAAACAAGTAGAGACATAATTAGCGTAGCTGCTGTTCTAAACCAAGCAAAAATGATTTGTTCAACCCAACCCAAGGAATAATAATGTGCATTTGATCAGATATAACTGCAGTACAAGATTATGAGATGCATTATGTGAATGCTTGGCCAAAGATATGTGTCTTTAATCTAGATTTAAACAGAGAGAGTGTGTCTGAACCCCAAACGTTATCAGGAAGGCTATTCCAGAGTTTGGGAGCCAAATGCGGAAAAAGCTCTACCTTCTTGTAATGTATTTCATTTAATTACATAGATGTAGGAATGATTGCTGTATGTGTTGTGTTTAGTTCCTGCAGATGTGTTCTCTTTGAACTCTGGTTGGGCTGGATTCTATGAGTATCTGGGAAAGAGACAGGCTGCCACAGTAACAGTCAATGCATTCAATGCCACCACCAGCCGGGTCAACGTCACTCTTCTGGAGCAGAGCGGGGTACACATTAAACTCTCTGGTAAGTTGAAGTTTTCTGTCACCATGTTCAATGAAGACACTAGGGCTGGGTGGTACAGTATGATGGATATATTGTACGACAGAACAAATGTGTCAGTTGGACGAGGTTTTGCTATACTGTTTATATCTGTAAATATATCCACACCGATGTCAGTGAGCAGGACTACTTTAGGTTATTTGCACTAGAGCACAGCAAGAAACATGAAACGTGAATGTAAAGTGGAATGAAGAATGTTATTAAGTAGCGTTGGTAGTCACAACGAGAAACAGCGTTGTTTGTGGGTGAGTATAGAAATCAACTGATGTGTGGTCAGCTGCTGCGGCAACAATATGGCATGTCATTGATCCAAATGTCTTGTTCGAAGATATTTAGGAGTCTGCTCTTACATATTAAACATGCTAAAAGAGAAGGATTTTCTTACTTTGATGGGAGATGGAGAGTGAATAATTGAATTAGCATTGCATCTTATTTCTTCAGTGCTGAGATTACATCCAATTTCTCAGATGAATTGAGCGGGCTTGATAGCTATGGATGCGTTCCGCATTTTCCAAATATGTTTTCCTTTGCCCTACTTCCTAGTCCTAGACCAAAAATAAACAGAAAAGCATTACAAATGCAGGTTTATAAAAGAAGTTCCAGATGATGGATATTGTTGGTTATTTCAGTTAATTATTCCCTTATAATGTTGTTGTTGTTGTTGTTGTTGTTGTTGTTTTCTCTCCTTGGGTTGTTTGCAGGAACTTACAAGAAAGAAGAAAATCATCTATTATTAAAAGTTTACCAGATAAGAGGCCCAACAGAACAATATTTTAGCAAATTCAAAAATGATAACTGGGCAATGGATGGATATGTGAGTAGCACAAAAGTTTTATATTATATTATTACAGCAGAAACGGAGAAAAAAATGTTTGTTTACCAAGGGCACATTCATAGCAAGGACTTTGGGAAGTTTCAGTTAACAAGACAAGGTAGATTATTTCATTTCACAGTTTCTCTTTGCTTTTCAATACATGAAAAGTAAATGAATATATTAAAATTTATAACGTTTATAGATTTAATACTTATTTAATTTATGATTCTAGACAGATTTTCAGGCAGGTGGTAATTTCAAATTGTTTATTCTGAATTTCCCCTCAGGTCTTATTACCACAGATATGGATCCGTCTAATCCCTACTACGGCACAAACAGCAGTTCTGTGGCAGCTGCCATTCTAGTGCCCTTCTTTGCGCTTATTTTATCAGGGTTTGCCTTTTACCTCTACAAACACAGGTAAGAGAAGCTGACTTTACTGTCTTGTGTGTTGATGTTATTTGTCCGTAATGAATGTGATTCGGCATTGTGTCACTGCAGTGGTAGGAAACTCCTTTGCCAAGCCAGTAATTGTGACTGATATTGCATCTGCCTACAGACGCTAGCAATTCAAACCTCTTAAAATGCCATTGAGTTCAAATTAAGGCAATAAAGTTTCAAAAAGGAGCATGGGAGTTTTCCTACACAAACAAAACAATGTGACAAAGTTGTCATGAAGCATGAGAGTTCCCCGATATTAAAATAATAAAAAAAATTGGCAGGGCTCTATCACAAGGCACAGATGACAATGAGAGACCCAAAGACCTGGCTGCCTCCAGGTAAGTCACCGGAAGCTAATGCCACAGGCGACGAGCCCTTTACAGCCACACCTTCATTGTCTGCATTTTATTTACTCATCTCATCTGAGGCAGGACAGAGTGCAGGGATTATGGGAAAAGTAGTGACTTACATACTGTTAGATTGTCATTTCTGTCAAGCCTAATTTGACCAACTAAAAGTCATCCTGCTTATTTCTGTTTGTGTACATTTGCCACCGGAATATCATGAGAATTGCGTCTGATGTGGTGACACGCCAGAGTCTGTTAGTCAGTGGAAATATGAATTGGGAACGGGATGTAGGTCATTCATTTAGATTTAGACCGTACAATTTGAGCAAGATCATAAATCATCCACTGTCATCCGAGCAAGCCTGGGAATCAGTTACAGTATTCAAAATTTTGATCATCAAGAAGTCAGTGACCTTTCCAAAATGGGATTTTTTTTTTTTTGTTCCATGGTTTTAATTATTGATGGTAAGAAGCAGCAAAATTTCCAGTTGAATAAGGAGAGGAGTTTTAAAAATAGCTTATTACCATATAGAATACCTAAATTATCCAACCCAGTCTCATAAAAATACGTACCTCTACGTACATTTCTGCAACACCGTTTTTACGTACCTTACTGCACGTTTCGCCGCAGTTTCAAAGAGAAATGTCCACTGAGTGGCGCTAAAACACGGGTTCAATACGTCAACCCTGGCACGTTTTTATTACGTTGATATAGGTACGTATTGCTGTGTTTTTATTACGTTTCTTCAGGTACGTATTGCGGCGATTCAGAATTCAAAATATCCGGGGACTGTCGCTAAAACTTAATGCTCTGTCGTGTTGGAAATATGCCCTACACCAAACCCAACCCTAAACCTACCCGATAGTGTTAACAAATGCAAAACTGATATAAAAACAAAT